GGAGGTGCAAAGTCAGCCTGTGCCAGTGCCTTGCCCAGGGCCACCCAGCATGAGCTACACAGCAAACTGTAGTTGGCTGCTACTTGTGCTGGGCTTGGAGGTGTCCAGGAGAGGCCAAGCTATGAGCCAATGCAGGCTGCTGCTAGTGCCAGGCCTGAGGCCACTTACCAAGCTGTATGGGGCCCACTGCTGCTTGTCTGAGAGATTTTAGGAAAGTCCTAAGCATGAGGATGGAGAGGCCACTTGCACAGAAAAGCCCCTGGAAATGGCCTGGATGAGCTGCAGGTGGGGAGGGGCGGCGCTTCCGGGAATCACAGGTCGGGGCCAAAGGTGAGAGTGACGTGCTGTTGATTCAAATATGGTGCCTGCCTGCCGGCTGTGTGCTGGGAGGACTCGCCACAGGAGCCATGGCCTCTGCCAGTTCTTCTGCCTGGGAGGAAGCTGCCCCTCCAGCTCTTGCCCGGATTTCAGGCAGGTTAGTTCCTCCCCAAGTGTCCCAGGTCCTTTCAAGCTGCTGCCCGGCGCTGGGCTCAGAGGGAGCGTCTGAGTGAGTCTGTACTGGGCCCTTTAAGAGGAGCTGCTGGGGCTCCTGCAGCCTCCGCGACCCTCAGGGACAGTCCTCACTGGTTTCACAGCCCGGAGTTGTGGGGATGTCTCTTCCCGGCCCTGGATCCCTGGGCTGGGGTCTCCTGTGGGGCTGGGACCCTCGCTCCTCTGGGAAATCCTCACCGCTGAGATTCCCTCCCGGGTTTAAACCACGGCACCGGGTGTGGGCCCAAGGTGAGTCTCTGATTCAGCCCCAATCCGCCCTCATCTCGGCCCTTCCTACCGGTCTCGGTGCTACTTCAGTTCCCTGGTTGCAGGGCTTTTGTTCAGCCAGATTTCAGGAGGCTCTGAGTGATGGTGGTTCTGTGTTTTAGTTGTAATTTTGATGTGGTTGCGGGAGGCAGCGGGTGCAGCTGTTACCTACACTGCCGTCTTGTTTCTCCCACCACTTGTTCTTTTTAACAGCTGAAAAATGTTCCATAGTACGTGAAAGTCCTAACTTTTACACACTATTTATTACAACCATTTCTTTACTGGCAAATGTTCACTTGGTGCTGAAATTCTGTCACAAGTTGCTTGAAAACATTTTTACCTAAATAATAATAAAACATTACAAATGTATAACATCCCATTGTTGAAGAAAACATAATTTATTCATGCATTTTATATCTAGCAACAATGTTCTATAATTTTCTTCATGTTTTATGCAACCGATTGTGCTCCCTCTTAGGTATAAAGGGGTGGGCAAAAGCAGGTTAATAATAAATAGTACAATAATTAATATATAATAATACAAGAATGAATTCTGTTTCGTGAACTCACAGCTATAAGCCTAATTTTGCCCACTCTGTATTATAGATTAATACTACCATAAAGGGAATCTTTTCTTCTATTATATTTACTAAAGTGTTATCACTACCATACATGAGCCTATCAATTTTTATATGTAACAACTATGCTGAACACTAATTGATTTTTTTGTAATATCTTTGCATGCATCAATGTCATCTGTAAATAAAACCTGTTTGCCTCTCTCTTACAATTTCTATTCCTCATTTTTTTTCCCTACCTCATTACACTATTGGCTAAGACCTTCAGGGCTGTGTTGAACGGAAGTAATGTTATCAGATGTCTTCTTACTGACACCAATGGGAGTGCTTCTAAAGTTTCAACTCCTAAGTGTAACGTTTGCTGTAGGTTTTGAGATAAATGACTTATTAGCCTAAGGCTTAGTAAGTTTCCCAGTTTGGGCAAAAAGGAAAATTTTAGCATAAAGGATTATTAAATCTTACCTAATGTTCTGTCTACATGTGTTAAAATGACCCTGTGGTTTCTCTCACTTAATATCTTAATATATTTTCGTATTTTCTGATGCTGAATGATTCTTGCTTTCCTGGGATATAATATCCTTGTCATGATGTTCCAGGTTGATCAAATTAAGTTATAAACCCAATTTCTTAGTGTTTTAATCTTTCCTCAGGAAATCTGTGCCAACGTACCTGGCTCCAAAGGCTCTTCCTGTTCTACTACAAGACTAGGCAGGCATCGAGGATTCAGGAAAAATCTAAGAAGGAGGATTTTCTCCCGTCTGTGGTGCTAAAGAGGAATTTTCCACTTTGCTCCACTGGAGGGAGAGTGTCAGACTAACTACTACAACAACTCTCCTATCAATTTTTATCTTGCTATAGACTCACTCCTGTAATACCTGGATTTTGAAAAGCTAGAGCAAAGTTATTATTTAGCAACTCAAAAAGCAAGGAATGACCTTACATGAGCTCCATGATGTTTTTGTACAAGTTCCTACAGTGAACACAGAGGCAGCTGGTAACTCAATTACTGTTCTAATTAAGGTTTTGCATAAGCAGGAAAGGATTTAGAAAGCCATTAAATCTTATAAAAAAGGCCTTGTCAGTTATCTTTGAAGCTTTCATGGAAGTATTACAACAGTGTTAAGTTCATTGTTCTGCAAACTGTAAATTAAACGTCCTTATGCAAAGTTTTTTCACAAACCAGTTAGAGCTAAAATCTCATATCTGTGTTTTCCTGGATTTCTTAAATTGAAGATAGTTGAAACAGTTGTATATATAATGAGTAATATCCAACCAGAATTTTGTCAAACTGTATTTTAGTAAATTTCTACATTAAACACAGAACTGTCAATCTTGATTTCCTCAAACTGTATGTGGAACACCTACATCAGAATTGCGTGCAACACACAGTAAGAGCTCAGATTCCATACTTCAAATGTG